TCGTGGAACTTAATGAGGATTGACGCGGAAGCAAAAGATCAGAAAGATAACAACTAAGCCCCAGGGGCAAAATAGTCATTTCTAAAAATATGGACTCGGGTGCCACCGAGCACACCACTGGAAAAGACAATGAAAAATTAGTCAAGATGGACTCGAGAAACGCATGATTCAGAGTCCAGACGAAAGAGAAACGGTAAGACGAAGAAAAACGAGCACTTAAGGCTAAAAGGGTAAAATGGTAATTCCAACTGACATGGGTACCCCCATGTACACCATTGGATATACAATGAAAAATTAACCAAGATGGACTCAAGAATCACTTCATTCGGAGTCCGGATGGCAAAGATATCAAGTCTTGAAGTCGAAAGAAGGGAAATCTTATCCCTGTTCTAACCAAAAACTAACACTACTCCACTAAAAATTGAATATCTCAAGCTACAAGTGGAATCTGAAGCTGAAATTGGTACCATTGGAAAGAATATTTCGACGCGGTAAATTTAGACTCAAGAACGGACCAATTTGGAGTTGAAACGAAAGAGATACGACGACACGAAGTTGGAGGTGCAGTGTTGAACCAAGACACACACATACTCACACATGAACAGTGCTACAAGTGCTCGTGAAAAGCTACGAGCGCTCGTGCAGCCCACGCCCCGGGGAAAAAACCCCATTGCCCCACTTACGAGTGATAAACGCCGAATATTGTATATTCAAGCGCCCTAAAGTATATTAACAAAGTCCATTAACTGATTATTCTATGTAGATTAACTCCATTTGCATGTTTTTATGCATTTTCAGGTTAAAGTGCAAAAAGGAAGCAAAAATGATGCCTTGTGGAATTTTGAACAAAAAGGATGCCATTTCTGAATTTCTGGCAGCAGTGATCCTGACTTTTGTCGCCATTTTTGACCTAGCAAACTCAAGAACTGGACTTCTCTCATAACATAAAAGATTTAGAGCTCTGAATTAGCTTTCCAAATCTTCAAACGTTTTGTCATTCGGAGCTCGGAGCAGAGAGTTATGGCCTTGTTACCAGAGGTGCGCAGAACTGCCTGGCAGCAATGCAATTCTGCCTTGATCTTCATTTTCGACCAACCAGACTTGAGAATTGGGTCTTTATCAAAGCATGAAGTTTTTAAAGCACTGAATCAGATCTCCAAATCTTCAAACAGATCATCATTCGGAGTTTGGGGCATAAAGTTATAGCAGTTTTCCCAAAATAGGTCAGCGCTGAGCAAGAGGAGCATGTTGCACATTACACTAAGTTAGAGTGCTCGAGATCACTTTTCGAGTGCTCGAAAATCAGGCAGATTGCACTCGGAAATGGCTCAATTTCAGCCACTTGCACATTGGTTTCCTCAATGCCATCTTCCTTCTTTATGAAGTGGTTGGAGGTGTTCCTTGGAGGAGAGAGAGAGGGTGTTGTTGGAGAATAAAAAGCTACCAAAGGCCACACATTTGCTATCTTTGATCTTTAGCAAGATAGAGGAGAGAGAAGAGAGCAAGGAGGAGGGTGTTCTTGAGTGCTACAGTAGGAGCTCGAAAATGGAGATGGAGTCTTCTTCTTCCTCTTCCATTTTTGTATCCATGGATAACTAAACCTCCATCTAGGGAGGTGATGAAACTCCTCCTTGTAAGTATGTCTAGTTTTTGATTTATTTTGGGGAATGAAATGTGTATTTGACTAGTTCCATAATCTAGAGCATGTTACATAATGTAATGGATGTTTTAATGTTCTAAAGATCATGTTGCATTAAATACTCTTGTCTTAGATGATTTAATCTCATGGTTGTATGGCTTGTAGTTTCATAGTGACAATGGAGCTATGACTATGGAATGGTTTTAATGGCATGATTTTGAGTAGCTTGTTAATTCATTGCTTAAGAATTTTTTTTGATGGATTAACCTTGTGACTTGTTATCATGTGCTCTCATCAATTGGTTACTTGTTTGACAATCTCTAGCTTAGTGAGCATGTTGAGGATTGCACCATAGTTTAGGTAATTTAAGCATGTGGAGCTTTGATAGGTTGTTCTTACATTTTAATTAATTGAATTTCTTGAAGATGATATAGTAGTCATGAATTGCTATTCATCAAGGTCATTTCTACATTAATTCCCCAAATCAATCATATAATTAGCTTGTGTAGAGGTTTGGAGTGGATTCACTTCGCTAGACTTCCTTCTCTAAATCTTCTCTTTTAATCTCCTTCAATTTATTGTTGTATGCATTCTGAATTTGTAGTTAAGTGACAACAAACACAACCTCTATGAACACCCCTTCATCATCCTAAGAATGACTCTAAACACTTAGGTTGCCTTAGACTAGCGCAGTCCCAGTGGTTCGACTTACCCGACCAATAGCCCTATTTTACAATGATTCGTGCTATTGCGAAGGTTGATGTATAGTTGATCAACCGATCAATTTTTGGCGCCGTTGCCGGGGACTTGCAAACGGTTTAGTAACCAAAGTTTAGGGTTAAATTTAGTTTGATTGTGCATATTGTGTCTTGTGAATATTCCTTGTGTGTTTTGATCATCTTCGTGTTGTAAGATTCTAGGGACTCGAAGCTCGCCGTGGGATTGCTAGCAAGTTGTAAGTCTAGAGGACCCCAGGTAAGTCTCGTGACTTCTAGTTTCAAATTGTGAATATCGTGCATGTGTTAAGCTTAGAAGTAGATAAATTGCAAGCCCTTGTCGAGGCTACTTCAATTGTGTATTTTCAATTCCAAGCATCGGTCCTTGTCGTGGCCATTTATTTTCTGTCTTGATAATTGAGGAGAAAGGGAACATCGTATGTGGAGCTGATGACAAAGATTTGCTGTGATGATGTTGTTGTGAATTGTTGATGTTTGGCCGTAGGTCACTCTCTCTACCCACACTTGACTCGCCTATTGATATAAATTCACTTGAAAGAACTCTTAGACGAAACCTTAGGGAACCCACTCTTACAAGGGACCTTGAAACTGAATTCAATATAATGGGGGATAACGTAGGAAATCCGGGGAATGAAAGGGCTGAAATTCCTAATGTAGAACCAATGACTCTTAGAGATCATTTCATTCCTACCACCTATGCTTCTCCTTCTTGTATAGTGATGCCAAACATCGATGCAGCTCAATATGAGATCAAGTCTAGTACCATTCAAATGCTTCCATCATTTCATGGCTTTGATAATGAAGATCCATATAAGCATCTTGATGAGTTCCTTGAAATCTGTTCGACCATCCGGTTGAGAGGTTTTTCGGACAATGCACTTCATCTCCATCTTTTCCCATTCTCCCTAAAGGATAGGGCAAAATATTGGTTGAACTCCCTCGCTCCCAACTCTATTACTTCTTGGGCTCAATTGCAATAAGAATTTCTTAAGAAGTATTATCTGGTGAGTAAAACCAACCAGATGAGGCGTTCCATTCTAAGTTTTTCTCAAGTTGATGGAGAACAACTCCACGAGACTTGGGAAAGGCTACAAGATCTTCTTCGAAAATGCCCTCATCATTTGATCCCAAAATGGCAATTAGTGCAAGCTTTCTATGCTGGCTTGACCGAAACCCATAGATTCATGGTTGATTCTTCTTGTGGTGGGATGTTCATGTCCAAGAATGCGGATGAGGCTTGGACCTTACTTGAGAATTTGAGTGAAAATTCACTTCAACACAATTCTCGTAGGGCTCCGACCGCAACTACTCCAAACAACACCAACCCTTGTCAACCAAAGTCAATAAGGGAGGAATCATCTCAAGTGGATGCCATCGCTCATAAATTCTACCAATTGATGGCACCACATCTTCCTCCTTCATTGTCTCAAAATTCGGCAAGTTCAGTTTGTGCTTCATGCACTAGTCCATTCCATCTCTCGGAAGATTGCCCCACACCGGAGCAATTTCCCAATCCCAACCAAGAGCAAGCTAATGCCATGTTCTCGCGGCCCGGGAACAATCCAAATTCCAACACCTACAATCCGGGTTGGCGAGATCATCCGAATTTCTCGTGGCGGCAACAAGCCCCACAAAATTCCCATTTCCAAAACCAAGAGCGACAAAATCAACCCTCTTCTCAATTTCAAGGTAGACCTTTCCAAGCCTCTTCAAGCTACCGTCCTCCTTACAATCCAAATGTCTCCAATCAACCTCCTGTGTGTCCAACTGACGAGATAGTAGCTGCAAACAAGCAAATGATGGAATCATTAAATAAGCAAATAATGGATGCCAACAAGCAACTCTTGACATCCTTGTAGCTTACTCTCCAAATGGTTCACTCTCATACTCAATCCATAGCTAATCTCGAAAATCAAGTGGGCCAAATAGCTAACTCGGTGAATCAATTGCTTCAAAAGGACAAGGGCAAGCTTCCCTCTCAACCTTTTGAAAATCCTAGAGGAATGCATGTGATT